TCAAGATGCTTAACACAGTCCAAGACAAAAGAGACCACTTGATTGGCATCACATCCACTCCCTCCACCACCGACACTCAGTAGCAGCAGGGTGTACTATATATAAGTTGAACTGCAGAAATTCGCCAAAGATCCTCAGACACAACGAATCAAACCCACAACCACTTCAAATCAAGAAGGACATGGGCAGCAGACACACGGGAAAACCCCACCTGCAAGTTCCCCTCCGAGCTACTCAACATCCTAACTCGGAAATATATCTCCATTCCTTCACTGTTGCTGGGTCAAAATCCTCCCGAATGGCGTTGTGGGTCTACCAACAGCACATGGCTTACAGAAGATTCAACAGGCAGCTCACCACTACCTTCAAGGGCAACTAAGAATGGGCAGTACGTGCTAGCCAGCCAGCAACACCTACATCCCACGAGTGAATTTAAGAAAAAGTTAATCTCTTATATGAAATGACTAGCTGATTTATTTGAGGACATTAGGAAATGGTCACCAGCACCCTCTGTGCAGGACACTGGCAAACCTAAAAATGTAGCAGAGAAATAGAAGTCAGTGCTGATGTTTACAGTACACTGTACTTTACTGCAAAGACACACTGGGCTGAATTTTACTACATGCTGGTGACTAGACCAGAGTTTGGAGTGGGGTAGAGGGTAAGTAAAACAGTGGAATGTTGTGTTAGGGTAATTTCTCATCATTGTAGCGCAGCCAGGGAATTTCTTCGAGATGGGCTGTTCATCCAATCCAACGGTTGCACATGGAGGGAGGCAGGCAGGCAGGCAATTTCCATAATTTAAAGATCAGTTAAGGGTCTTTTTATGATAGATTGCCAACAGCAGGGCAGAACCCTTTCCACCAAATGGGGGGGGCGGGGAGCGCATGAGCTTCATGGAGGTAGCCTTCCTCTGTCAGACTGTGGGGACAATCAGAGTCGGAGATTCCTTGTCACATAGAAGGGATCCTGGGAAAAAAAAGGCAGCCCCATGGTCCCAATGATACACACCTGGAATAGTCTGTCCTGAAAATGGTGTGCCTGTCCGAATCAGCCATCCTTAGTTTTAATTTACACTTGTCCCTAACAAGGGTTGTGTCCAAGATACCACCAAGACTCATCTCTCCTGGTGGCTCTGCTGAGACTCCACAGCAGTCTTAGGATAAGGCTGGCAGTGCAGAAAATCTCTTTGCTGTATTTATTGGACAGCAGGCCCTCAGGCAGTCAAAAGAAGGCGTCTGCAGTAAAAATACTAAGTCTGTGCTGCCAGCAACATGGGCTGTGAACACACTTTTTTAGTCTAATGTCAGGGTCTTGAAGCCTGTTGTTAAATTCAGCCTAAAAACACTACTCGCCAGAGCCTGTTCTAGACAAAGTAATGCTCACTACTACATAAAAATTGTAAAGGTTACAGTAACATCCCTGCCTCGGAGGCAGGAGACCCAGGTTCAATTTCCACCTTCCCCAGAGTTATGTAATAACATCTCTGAAAGGTTGATTAAAATATTTTTACATTTTGAAGGCAGCATTTTCCCGCTGTGTAATTTACATTTTAGAAAGAAAAGTGACTAATTGCTACCACCCAGTGGATAAAAGGAAGAAGACAATATACAAGCTACCGACTGTTTATAAAAATTGTCCGACAACTTCAACTTAAATCATACTTTAAATTTTAGTATGACATCATGCACTGAAAAAATAAAGAATTTTGTCAAGACTGCAACTTTCTGCATTTGAGTTAGTACTAGAGGGGTTTATAGCACAGATGGTGGTCTTTTGGGTCACTTTTATCTTGCTAAAAGAAACATAGGAATTCTGCTAAATTTAAGTATTAGCTTCAGTGAAACTGCACCGAATTATTACAGAGTGAAAAGTAATTGTCCAAAGGCAATCGTGTGAAAGGAATGAAACTTTAAAAAGTGGAACAAAAAAATCCATTACTGCTGAATTCACCAGCTTCCCGCGATCAAGCAACAATCCAATATTAAAATTATCAGCCTGGTTTTCAATTTTGTGTTATGGCTTTGCCCATTCCCATCTCTGTAATCTTTTCTAGCAACAACAATTTGTAATTCTACAGCTCCTTTAACATAGTGAGAAAGCAAAGAGGTTCCACAGGACAGTTATAAAGCAAAACTTGACATTGCAACATAAGTGACACTGGAGTTGATGGAACAATACATGGTCAAAGAGGTAGGTTTTAAGGAGCAACTTAAAGCAGATAAGGAAGTATGAGAGGTTTAGGGAGGGTAATAGGTCTGGGGAGGGGGGGTTGGGGCAGCTAAATGCATACCTATCAATTATGAAATAATTAACATTGGGAATATTCAAGAGGCTAGGGTTAGAAGAACAGATAGTTGTGCCATTTCAAAGGTCACAGCATCTAAACAGTATAAATCTTTAACAATACCAGTTATGTGATAAAACACATTTTATATACACAACTTGTTTTATATATTTCCATCCATTTGTACTGGGGAGGGGGTGGTTCAAGTCTGTTGAGATTGTAATATTTAAGCTCAAAAGCATTCCAAGGTTTTTTTTGCATTTGATTTATCCAGGAACAAGGGCAGGGCTTGTTGCAAGATTTTAATATGGTCACTCAAATCAGTTCAAGGGTCAGTCAGTTTGTGAGAAACACAGAGAAGGTGACTCCATATTGCTAAAGTGCTGCTGTCAGCTTGTTCCACGCAGTTGGGGCAAAGGACAGCCACGAGCAGTGGGATTCTGCACAAAGCAGCCAGAGATGTGGAATTGTATCAGTGATTCAGCACTCGGGTGCAGCCGTGTGAACTGAGAAGCAGTCTTAGGAAAAGAGAGCGAGCAGCTGCGAGATGAGCAATTATTGACAGCAGTGTGGCTGGACTACAGCATGGCCAAACAAGAAAAAAGCTTGTTATCAGAAAGTTGGTATCAGAAGTAAATCAACCCAGCTGAAAAAGAAGGCCAAATAGGTGGTATCGGAGACCTCAGGGGAACTCAGGGGCAGCACAGTCAGTTGTTTGGCGAAAGGTTGAAACTGCACACTAATTAGCGGCCTGCAAGCATTTTCAGGAATTCTGGGGAACATTGGAGAAAAGAACTATTAGGACATGAGCAGTTATTGAGGAAAACTAGAGAAAGAATGAACTGAGTTTGGGACAAGGGTGGCTGGGGGATCATTGGCTCAATGTGAAGGGAGGGTACCAACAGTGTTAACTCATTGGATTATCTGAATTTTATTGAAGAAGAGCTCCTTGCAAGTGGTGGTATTCCCATGTGTCTGCCGTCCTTGTCCTTCTAGGTGGTTGGGGTCATGGGTTGGAAAGGTCCTCTTGAAGGAAAATTATAGGAGAGAGCTCAGACCGAGAGGTAAGGGTCCCTTAGTGGGACAATGTTTATGTAGGGTGGAGTGAACATAAAGCACCAATAAACTGTTGTCCATGTTTGAAGACGGATGTAGTAAATGAAGACAGGAAGCTATTTAAGAGTAGAGTATCAAAGGACGAATTGGGAGGTATTGTACTTTGACCACAGTGAATTTCTGACCAGGAACAGAATGAAGTTGAAACTATAAAAATAGTATAAACTGTGGCTAGTCAGAAGTTTGGCAGGGAACTAATATCTCTCAGTCACAGCAACTGTGGGGAAAGGGCTATAAACCCAAAGTTGCTTTAAGTTATAGCAAAAGAGCAGCAAATTGGAGAGAGAAGCTAAATCTCCCAGTAGTCTAACATAATCCAGCACAAAAGCATAACCTTGATGATCACAGAAGTCATTTTCAAGCCTGAGACAAAATCCAGACATTTTATTCTTTCCAGAGCTCTCAACCATTTGAAAACTAAACCCACCCTCTAAACAAAATCTAGAGATATCTACATTCCTCTAATTCTAGCTTCTTGAACATCCTGATTTCAATTGCTCTACTATAGGTGGCCATACCTTAAACTCTGGAATTCTGACCATACAACTTTCTGCCACCCTAGCTTACTTTTTTCCTCTAAGACATTCTTTGGCCAGGTTTTAAGTCATTTGTTCTAACAACTTGTGTGCCTCAGTGTCACATTTTGTTTTAGAATGCTCCTGTGAAGTGGCTTGGGACATTCCATTATATTAAAACTGCTATATTAATACAAGTTGTTGCTGTTGCAAGTGGTTATAAGCAGGCCACAAATGCCAACTTATTTTGAATAATGCACTAACGTTCACAGGTGTAGCCAGATAAATATAAATATAAAATGAAATGGGTATGTTACTTTAGAATCAGCACCAGTGCATGATATCAATTAAAGTCAATAGTAGGATCTAAAAGCATCTAAAATCATCACTGACCGGCATTTAGTGGCATTGCAACAATTAAATCCGGGTTTTAAAAAAAGTTTACTCAATGTGTGCTTTGGCTTCTTTGATCTTATTACTAGCTCAGCTGAGCAGTATTTGATTTTCTAAAAAGGTAAATAGATTGTACTTCATATTAAAATAATGACTTAGGTTAAACCTCTAGTTCATTCAACTATACGCATGCCCACCTGAACAGTAACTGAACACAACTTAAACTATACCAATTACGAAAGTTGATAACCTTGAGTGCAACAGTCAGTTTCTCTACATTGAGTCAAAATAAATTTTGATTCATGCTTGCATTCATATCAGAAAGGCAAGTGCCAAGTATTGAAGCCTGTTGGCCCTGCTATGATAATATAGCAGTAAATGGATTCCAATAAACTGCATTTTACTTATCAACATTAAAATGTCAACCTGTACAAAGATTATTCAGTACAATCCTAGAATGTTGCACTGTGCAATACAAAGCAAACAAATCAGAAGTGTATACAAATACCTATATATTTGTTAAAACGTTTTGGTAATTAATAAAATATCTAACTATATTGTGGGTCTATACAAATGAATATATTTCAAACAGTGCTTTATGTAAAAGAAAGATCAGACATTAAATCCATTGGACAAAGAAAAAGGAAATACCAATGAAGAAGAAGTTACATTCTCTCTCCTATTCTTACCTTTTTCATTTTGTCTATATCGGCCAATAAATGGTGGAATAGGGGCTTGATACTGAGGTCCAACCATAATCTCCTGAAATAAACCAAAATATACTTTTGGTACTTTCTTCTTTAAAGTGTGAAATATATTCTCAAGTCTCAATGAACATATCTAAATTGCAACAACTTTTGACCAAAGCTAATCACATCATTCGCAGTCTTCACCATGGTATAAGTTTACGCTTTGACACAGCAGAATATAAAGTATTAAGTTGAGACCACTCAACGTTGAGAGGAGTGGCAAGACCATGAAGTGATTTGAAAACAGGATGAATTTTTTTTTAAATGAAGGGTTGTTTGCGTAACTGGGATTCAAAGTCAGTCAACTTACCACCTCCTCCAGAATTCCCCGGTCCCCAACACCTCATCTTTACCATGGACGTCCAGTCCCTCTACACCAGCATTCCCCATACAGATGGCCTAACGGCCCTCCGCTTCATCCTGTCCCACAGGCCCGACCAGTCCCCCTCCAGTGACACCCTCATCCGCTTAGCCGAACTCGTCCTCACCCTCAACAACTTCTCTTTCAATTCCTCCCACTTCCTACAGACAAAGCGGGTGGCCATGGGTACCTGCATGGGCCCAAGCTACGCCTGCCTCTTTGTAGGTTACGTGGAACAATCCCTCTTCCGTACCTACACTGGCCCTAAACCCCACCTCTTACTCCGTTACATTGATGACTGTATCGGCGCCGCCTCGTGCTCCCACGAGGAGCTCGAACAGTTCATCCATTTCACCAACACGTTCCACCCCAACCTTAAGTTTACCTGGACCATCTCTAATACCTCGCTCTCCTTCCTGGACCTCTCTGTCTCCATCTCAGGCAACCACCTAGAAACCGATATCCATTTCAAGCCCACCGACTCCCACAGCTACCTAGAATACACCTCCTCCCACCCACCTTCCTGCAAAAATGCCATCCCCTATTCCCAATTCCTTCGCCTCCGCCGCATCTGCTCCCAGGATGAGGCATTCCACTCCCGTACATCTCAGTTGTCCTTGTTTTTCAAGGACCGTAACTTCCCCCCCTCAGTGGTCGAGAACGCCCTCAACCGTGTCTCCCACATTTCCCGCAACTCATCCCTCACACCCCGTCCACGCAATAAGAACCAAAAAAGAATCCCTCTCGTCCTCACGTACCACCCCACCAACCTCCAGATCCAACACATCATCCTCCGACATTTCCGCCATCTGCAATCCGACCCCACCACCAAAGACATCTTTCCCTCCCCACCCTTATCTGCTTTCCGGAGGGACCACTCTCTCCGTGACTCCCTTGTCTGCTCCACACTCCCCTCCAGCCCCACCACACCCGGCACTTTTCCCTGCAACCGCAGGAAGTGCTACACCTGCCCCCATACCTCCTCCCTCACCCCCATCCCAGGCCCCAAGAAGACTTTCCACATCAAGCAGATGTTCACCTGCACATCTGCTAATGTGGTATACTGCATCTGCTGTACCCGTTGTGGCCTCCTCTACACTGGGGAAACCAAGCGGAGGCTCAGGGACCGCTTTGCAGAACACCTACGCTCGGTTCGCAATAAACAACTGCACCTCCCAGTCGCGAACCATTTCAACTCCCCCTCCCATTCCTCAGACGACATGTCCATCCTGGGCCTCCTGCAGTGCCACAACGATGCCACCCGAAGGTTGCAGGAACAGCAACTCATATTCCGCTTGGGAACCCTGCAGCCCAATGGTATCAATGTGGATTTCACAAGCTTCAAAATCTCCCCTCCCCCTACCGCATCCCAAAACCAGTTCAGCTCGTCCCCGCCTCCCTAACCTGTTCTTCCTCCCACCTAGCCCCTCCTCCCACCTCAAGCCACAACCCCATCTCCTACCTACTAACCTCCTCCCGCCCCCTTGACCTGTCTGTCCTCCCTGGACTGACCTATCCCCTCCCTAACTCCCCACCTACACTCACCTTTACTGGCTCCATCCCCGCCTCTTCGACCTGTTTGTTTCCTCTCCACCTATCCTCTCTTCTATCCTCCTCGCCCCCCTCCCTATTTATTTCAGAACCCCCTTCCCCTCCCCCATTTCTGATGAAGGGTCTAGGCCCGAAACGTCAGCCTTTCTGCTCCTATGATGCTGCTTAGCCTGCTGTGTTCATCCAGCTCTGCACCTTGTTGTCTCGGATTCTCCAGCATCTGCAGTTCCTACTATCTCTGGTAAAATAACCAGCATGCTTTATAGTAACTGCTCTTCCCAAAGATTAAACAAGAAATTGAACAAGTTAAATAGATAATAAAACATATCTCAGGTTCATCTTCCACCCTCAAAATGGCCTTGTTGAGTCGCTATGCAGTACAGTTCAGTAGTAAGCAAGGAGCACCCTTCAATATCTCAATTAACCATTATACATGTGAGCCTGATAGTCGGTTTTGACAGATTATCAGATAATGACAATTATAGAATCACAATCATAGAATCATAGAATCCCCACAGTGTGGGGACAGGCCATTTGGCCCAACAAGTCCACACTGACCTTCTGAAGAACATTCCACCCGACCCACACCTCTATCCTATCCCTACATTTCCCATTGCTAAGGCCCCTAAACTACCTATCCCTGAACACTATGGACAATTTAGCATGGTCAATCCACCTAACTTGCACATCTTTGGACTGTGGAAGGAAACTGGAGGACCCAGCAGAAACCCACACAGACACAGGGAGAATGTGCAAACTTCACACAGACAGTCCCCCAAGGCTGGAATTGACCCTGGGTTCCGGGCACTGTGAGGCAGCAGTTCTAACCACTGAGCCACTGTGCCGCCCTAATCAACATCAATAATTTCACCATTCAATAATCTGTGCTTTTTTCAGCAGACGTAACTATTCTTGATTGCTGTTTAGTTAAATTAGCTGATCACCTCTGCTCAGAATTACTCAAATCAATTGTGATGCACCTTCTGGCAACCCAGTTCTAAAAATTAGATAGTTTTCACTCCAGATAACTTAGTTACTCTATAACTAGAGCTTGGCAGCGTTAAAAGACAGCAAGAGTGGGAAGTAAAGAAAGAAAATTAACCAATAAAACAAAAAAAATAGAAAGAATATGGCTAGAATTGTTTTGAAGAGAAAGCACAATTCAATATTCAAAAGTTATGCTGTGACAGATATCCCTAGCTGACAGTAACTTACCTGGACCTATGCAATAACTCGTTTTCAAATACTGAAGAAATGAAAATATAAACTATACCTTGTTCAAAAGGCACTAACCTTTTTACAGTCATTTGATAAAATTGAATCATCTTCTTCAGAATCCTCATCTGATAATGACAGTTCCTTATCATCCTCAATAGAATTAGCTGGAAACAAAATAAATGTTACAATTCAATTTTAATTATAATTAATCAAAGTAATCATCACTTTTTTATTACATATCAGTAATTGTTGTGTAATTGTGTTAATTATTGTTACCAGAAAGTGCAACATGTTATCTCAACAAGAATTTCTTTCATTCCCCAGAACAGTTTTTGCGCTTGTATCAATAAGATGACAGCATTTTGGAGTTCATCTTGGCACAAAGTGAACTTAGCATTTTCTCAAATCATCAAAATCAATGTCTCAACTAATGTTTTAGAAATAATTCTCAGCATATTCCAAATAGAATCTGAACCCATCAATGATAAAGGGTTTTTTTGAAAAAAAAGTTAATTCCGATCCAAGATGCAAATTTTGAGTTGATTTATAAGACATGATATCAGACAAAACAAACACACACTCACATACACACTTATGTGGTTTGAAGTCACAGAAGCAGGTTTGCAAACTTGTGGGCCTTCGGCAATTATTTTCCAGGAACAGAAAGTGTAACGTTTCCAAGATGCTAAATAAAAACTGAAAGAACTGCGGATGCTGTAAATCAGGAACAGAAACAAAATTGCTGGAAAAGCTCAGTCTAGTAGCATCTGTGAAGGAAAAAACAGAGTTAACATTTCAGGTCCAGTGACTTCAGTTCTTAGGAAGGGTCACCGGACCTGAAACGTTAACTCTGTTTTTTCCTTCACAGATGCTGCCAGATGTGCTGAGCTTTTCCAGCAAATTTGTTTTTGTTGCAAGATGCAACTGTTTCCAGTTGGTCAGTGGACATCACAACTACATCAGTTGCAGTCCTGTTAATACTTCAATGTCTACTGTATAGCAGCAAGTTTTGAGGCACTGGAGAAAGTATAAAGACAGATTTATACAATTATACCAGAGCAGAGAGATAATATCTGTCAGGAAAGATAAGCTCTTTTCTACAGAAATCAGAAGACTGATGTGTGACCTGACGAAGGTGTTCAAAATTTTGAGTTTGAAAAGTAGACATCAGGAAAATGTTTCCACTTGCAAGTTGGAACAGGACTAGGTGCCACATATATAAGGTTGGTAGTCACTCATAAATCCAATAGGGAATTTAGAACAAACTTCTTCATTAGAGGACATCATAATTTTGAAATGATTAACTCTAGTAGCAGCAGGGGTGGTTACTCCTGGTGAAAGGAAAACCCAAGGATCAACACAGGACGCACAGAATTGGATGCATTATCAAGAAAAAACTCTGTCCACTGACGCTTGGAGGTCCAGTTGGCATCAACAATAGCCTCATGACTCTCTGTCTACCACTTGCCAACAACCAGCAGGCAATAGTTGTGAGTGCCTATGTTCCAACGCCTGACGTATAGATGAGTCCAAAGAAGGCTTCTACTCTTGCCTGGCACCATATTCATCAACATCCCTAAGGAAAATACAATTGTTATCTTCGGGGATTTCAATGCCAGGGTTGGAAAAGATGCCTGACTCTGAAAAGAAACCATCAGAAGGGATGCAGTCAGGAGTCAGGAACTGCAACACTTTTCTTACAAAATCTAGGCTTGAAGCCAATCCAGATCAATTAGAGGAGCATTCCTACTAACTTTATAAGGAAGGACAAGTGGTCACCTATTCTTTCTTTCTTCTATAACTACGTATCATAACACCCACACCCCCAACAACCATTCACATCCCTCTACCAAAAAGAATGTGGTTTTGTATCTGCAGAAATAGCTCATCTCAACTTCAAAGTGCCATAACAGCATTACCAACAGGTCACAATTCCTCTGGGACAGATTGGGAGAATAAAAATGCCAGGTTTCATATATAATAGTTTCTGTCTATCTGCATTATCTGAGTGGTTGGTGGCTTGACTTCCTGGACCGAGAGTGCTTGAGTCTTAGTTATTACCCCAGGGCTTGCACCCTTGTCCAGCCTCAGTTACACAGCTCCTGTTGACAATGTGGGGAGAAATGGTACGGGGAGTTGTGTGTGAACAAAGATAAAATGGCATGTGACCATTGGAGAAGTTGAGGAATGGTTTCTATTTGTGTAATAATGGTTTTAAGGGTTTTCTCCTCAAGGCTCCATTTATTTCTTCTTTGTAAGGCTAATTAATGAATCTAGCTAATACTTAGCTCTTCACAAACAACATCAAACAAATTACCTGGTAAATTATCACATTGCAAGGGATGTCGTACAAACTGGATTTTATATTTACTTATGACAATGACTGCATTTCAAAAACATTTCATTGACTGTGACTGCAGCATTCTAGGGTTATAAAAAGTGCTATATAAATGCACGTTGTTTTTTTAAAGCAATAATGCAATATGTAAAAGTCAATAGATGCGAAGCTGGGAAAGCACAGTAGGTCAGATAGCATCTGAGTAGCAGGAAAGTCAATGTTTCGGGCAGAGACCCTTAATCATGACTGGGGAGGGGGAGAAGAGCCCAGAAGTAAATAGAGGGACGGGGATGGTGATAGGTGGATGCAGGAGGGGGTTATTGTGATTGGTCAGTGGGAAGGGTGGAGCAGATAGGCGAGTAGGGAGATGGACAGGTTAGGTCGGGTCAGGGAAGCAAGGAGGAGGGGGAGGGCTGGACATGGGATAAGACTGGGGGTGGAGGGAGTTTGAAGCTGGTGAATATTGAGGCCATTAGGCTGCAAGCTCCCAAGGCGAAATATCAGGTGTTGTTCCTGCAGTTTATGTTTGGCCTCACTCTGACAGTGGACCTGTAGTGGGAGCTTACAGCGCAATGGCCTCAATATTGACTTCACCAGCTTCAAAATCTCTCCACCCCTAGCCTTATCCCATGTCCAGCCCTCCCCCTCCTCCTCGCCTCTCTGACCTGACCTAACCTGTCCATCTTCCTATTCACCTATCTGCTCCACCCTTCCCACTGACCAATCATAATAACCCCAACCTGCATCCTCCTATCACCATCCTACCTACCCTTCCCCCAGCCACCCCAGTCCTGATGAAGGGTCTCTGCCTGAAATGTTGACTTTCCTGCTCCTCGGATGCTGTCTGACCTTCTGTGCTTTTCCAGCTTCACATCTATTGACGCTGGCTTCCAGCATCAGCAGTCCTTAATGTCTCCAACTATTGACGTATCTTTTTACCTGAAAGAGCCAACAGTTTTAGTCTTCCAAATGTATGTGATTAATAGCATTTTTGATTAATACAAAAAAGGATCACATACCAAATGTGGATATGTGATCACAGTATTCATTCACATGACACATGCATGTGTACTCAACCTTTTTTATACAGTCTCAAAAGTAGAGTATGGATGTGTTTAATTATTGGATGTGCTTTATTTATTATTGGTCATCTGCTAAAGTTAGGCAAGAACACCAGACTTTAGCACCACAGAACAACTGGATCGTATGCAGGGAGGAATTGTTGCGATCAGCTTGACTGATACGAACCACTCCAAGCCAGCATACAAAAACAATCTCAACCAATAACAAACAGCTTCAATAGGCACATTATGGTAAACAACTAGCACAATCTAAATGTTTTTGGGATGGAAAGCAGGCATGAATTTTACTTTCATAGTTCTTAGCTGTCATGCAAATTAAGTTGGCAAGAACACCACGCTACACAGAGACAAAAACTTAGAAGCTGCACAAAAATGTGATGCTTCTCACCAGTCATGTCAGAATTCAAACCTTTAAAACTTTGAGAAGGGAAATACTACAAAGTTTTGCTCTGAACAGAGGTACAAGTTTGTCAAATAAATATACACATTAAGTAACATCATTTGTATTGTGTATGAAGCATAATTTATGAAAATAGCATTGCTTTTGCCAAACCTGTGGGAAATCAGCAATTTCTACTGGGCAACTTTGGTTTTTAAATACAACTATCATAGTTTCTGGTTTCAGCTCAAATATCACTGACGCTTCTGATTTGATATTTCTATCCTTTGGGACCCTTTACTTCCAGCAATAAAATTCTTTCATGTCCTGAAGGAAGCGTCTTGCTAGGTCGCTTTTCCCAGACGAAAACCTGGAATTCTAACAATGTAATTGACGGGGGTATAAAAAATTCTTGAATAAATACAATTATAATGTTCCCAGTCAGTTACATTTCTTTAATGAAATTAGGCCAGATAGAGATGAAAATGTATTTATTAAGAGTTATGAATGTTAATTATCTGCAAATGAGGTAACTCAAAGCAATATAACCTCAGGACTTCAAATCTATTTTGAAGTGAAGATGAAAAGATGCCAGCTTACACCAGAGAGAAAGAAAGTAACACAGAGAGGTCAAGTAACCTGCTTATACGCATTTCTGAAGGAAGAAATCAATGAAGTTCATGGCAAAATAGACGTAACTGATCTATATAAAAAGGGTGGGCTTGTTGAATGTAATGTCTTTTTCATGTCTCTAAAAATCTGAATGCATTCGAAAGCCCATGACCCACACGGTCACAGTATATTCTAGTGATTCTGCCTTCTTACTCTAGTCACTTCTTTTTCCTCTAGAATTTTTAAAAATTTTCTTCTCTGTTTTGGCTTCTACTCATAGTTTGTCTGTTTCCTACAAAAACTCTTCACGATCATAAGATCGATTGTACACATGTAGTTTACCAGTTTTTTCAAGTAACTGCTCCACACTTTGCTGACCTTGTCAAGTCCCTGTTTGATTGTCATCTTCAGTTTTAAAAATAAAAAAGTGACAAGACTGCACAATCTCATGGATACAAGTCAGAAAGGGTTGAAAATAATTCAAAGTTAAGGATTTGGAAGGAACAACGGGACAACAAAACCAGATAGAGAAGGAAGATGATGGCCAACAGTTACCCCAATCACAACATTTTACCGGTTCCTGCACTAATGAGATTATTGCAGATAACAGAAGCTCAGAAACTTAGTGGTGGTGTAACTACAGACCAATCACATCACTCAAACTGAATTCAAGTCAATTCTTTTAAATTCATAATACAGCAAAATCAAAAGTGATTATTAAAATTGTAAATAGTTTAAGATCACCTCTGGAATACAGTGACCATGCTTGGGCTCTTATTTCACAGCAGACATGATATTAGCCCAATAAAGGCCACAATGCTAAAACCTAGTGAGCTGAATTATGAAGTTCGAACCGTAATTTTTCTTCCTCTAGAAGGCCATGGAAGTTGAAATTTAACATTTTTTTCTGAATTATGAGACTTACAAAGTTAAAAGTTGCCAACGTGTTTATCTTGTCATAAATTTAACAATCAAGCTGCATAAATTCAACTAAATTTTCTTTAACAAAGAGAAAATCAACATTTGGAACTAACCACCTGCATAGGCTGTTGAGCAGAAATTTTTAAATGGGATTTCACTTCTGAGAGCTGAAGAGGATTCATGGTTATTAAAATTATTGGAATATTTCATTAGAAAGGAAGAAAAAGATTGGAATGGGTGAAACATGATGAGCCATTGGTCTTCCTTATCTGAAATGTCATCCTGGTGGTTCTTGTGTTGTAACAGCCAAATATCATTTGCGGAATGTAATCAACATTGAATAAAGCAGATTGCTAGGAGATTTTCATTAAATATTTGAAAAATGAGAATTTTTTTCCACCTTTCTGTGCAAACTGTACTGGATCATATTTTATTAATTCTCAACAGGAAGATAATGGTAAAGCTAAAGTTATGATTAAAACACATTCAAACCAGTACATGCAAGTCTAAAAGTGATTTGGAATATCCTTTAAAAGCGGAATGGTGAATATGTAGAATAGACTTCCAGGCAAAGGATGTGCTGATGGCTCATGATAATTTTTTTTTTGGAAAATTGGATTTTAATGTCAACAAAAGCATGTAAAACTTTAAGTTTGATTTGTATTTCTACACTGTGTGAGTTAAGAGAAAGGCTTTGTTCAACTTTTGAGTTCTCAGACTGCCATCAGGATGTCTGGATTTTTTTTTAACATGCATTTAAAATGAAGTTTTAAAGAATCCTTAAAGTCAATAGTTTAATGCTCTAGATAAAAAAACACAGAAGAAAAACAATTTGGCTATTGCCTATTAACAAGGTTTCCTGTGCCACAAGCTGACAGAGATAGAAACAAGTTTTGGAAAAAGAGATCCATCCAGAGGTGAGGCAGTATGCAGGTTTCTGACAGAGCGAACAGGTCTATGACGGCAAAGATTCTGTTACCTTAGCACTGTTCAGTACATTTTGGGCTGAAAGTAAGTCCTGAGTGGTTAAGTGTCATTAAACAAGTGTGAAGAATTGGGGCAGCAAGGTGGTTCAGTGGTTAGCACTGCTGCCTCACAGCACCAGGAACCCGGGTTCAATTCCACCCGCGGGCAACTGTCTATGTGGAGTTTGCAAATTCTCCCCGTGTCTGCGTGAGTTTCCTCTGGGTGCTCCAGTTTCCTCCCACAGTCCAAAGATGTGCAGGCTAGGTGGATTGACTATGCTAAATTGCCCAGTGTTCAGGGATGTGTAGATTAGGTGGGTTATAGGGGGATGGGTCTGGGTGGGAAACTCTTGAGGGTTGGTGTGGACTTGTTGGGCCAAAGGGTCTGTTTCCACACTGCAGGGATGCTATGAAATGAAGTAGTTTGTGCATTTTCCCCTCTGTGTGTCTAATAACCTTTTATGCTCTTTTGTTAAAAATACATTGACAGCCTCTTGTGCAAATGCTGAATGACTGACCAGCATGATAACTGAATTGTAAAAGTAAAATTTGTGGCCCATCAAATCAGGTTTCACTTTAGGAACTGTCATGTCCAGTATTACCATTAGCTTAGATCGTAACAAGGATAGGCACGAAAACCATGGAACAATTTAGAAACAATAGATGCAGCAATGCAATGTGTATACAGTTATTCTGTATAAATGAATTAAAATAATTTATTTGACCTTCCCCATACATAAGTAAACCATCACTTTTTTGGAACTTACATCTCAGAGGGTGGGGAAAAAGATCAGATGCCTCATGGGAAGTGACAGATGGAGTTAAATCATCAGCTGAAGACTGGGTTTCTTCCTCCTCTTCTCCAGAAAGAAGATCTTTAGCTATTTGCTCCTGTCAACAAAAGACAGGGTTCATCATGTATGTTTACTTACTCACATTTCTGCAGATTTGCAGCAGGACCTAGACAACTTTGGTTGATAACTAGTAACTAACATTCAGAGCAGGAAATTTCTAACAAAAGTCTAACCACTTTCCTTGACATTCAATGGCATTACCACTATCAAATCTCCGACCTTCAAAATTAGAGGGTCACACTGGACAAAATTTAACCAGACCAGACACAAAAATACTGCAACTAAAAGAACTAATCAGAGGTAGGATATTCCGTGGTGAATTACACATCTCATGACTCCCCAAGACTTTCCACCAGTTTAAAGGTATAAAAATCAGGAGTGTGATGGAGTACTGCTCCAACGCTCAAGAAATTCAACATCAAGCAGAACACAGTAGCCCACTTGATTGACAGTCCACCACCACTTTAAAACATTCATTCTTCAAACCATTACTGCAATGCACATCATCAAAAAGATGCACTGCAGCAACTCACCAAGGATTCTTCATGATAACCTCCAGAACAAACAACATTTAACAATCAAGAGGACAAGGGCAGCATGTGAATGGGGAGCACCAGCATCTCCAAATTCCCAGTGACATATGAAACCCTAACTTGGAAATACATTAATGTTCTTTCAACATCTCTGGATCAAAACCCTCAAACACCCTCCGTAATAACATTCTAGGAAGACTTTTATGATATGAACTGCAGTGGTTGCAGAAGGCAGTTCAACATAACGTTCTCAAATATTTTTCATTGTATCTCGGTACATGTGACAATAATAAATCAAAAGTAATTAAAAATGGACAACAAACAATGGTCTCAGCAGTGACTCCCACATTCCACAAACAAATATAAAATTTATCATTTATTTTCATCAGTTGTTGTCACTAATGATGAAAAGAAAACTAACATTTTTCTTGATTATGCAAAAGGAACACTGTTTGTAAATGGGGCACAATTTGAAAGGTTCTTCACTGTTTAGTTCAATTTTAAAGAATTTGCCAAGCTTGATACGAACTGTGCAATAAACTGACAATCTTTCTTACTGATCATTCAATTATATAGGCCAAAAGTTTGCTGGGGTCAAGCTACAATATAGCAATACATGAAAACAAGGTCAGTTCAGCTGCAACAATAAAGAGCAAGTGGTTCACTGAATGTTAGTTATTAGATTAAAAGACAGAGGTTCAAACCGACTGCCAGATGTAAAGCACCTATGCTTTCCGGATGTTGATTAAAATAAAAACTGCTACTAAAGTACAATATTTGAAAGAGAAAAACAAGTTTGTGTGTCAGGTTTAGACTACCAAAACTGAACTTGAAAATTTAATAATCAAGTAAAATGGTTAAAAACAGATAACAAACAGTTGCAGAATGTGGGTGAAGGATGCAAGGTGAGCAGATGCTTAAACATAACAGATCTATCTGTTATGTTTAAG